GGTTCTACCTAAATCACCCAATTTCCCCATGAAAATCTTTGATTTGAAGTTGAAATCATGTTAAAAGATGTTACGAAGTGAAGAAAATAAGTTAGAAATCATTTACCAATCGTTTCGGAGAAGAAAAGTTGTTTGGAAAATCGCCTCTTATGTTTTGGGGTTTTGANTCTCTTAACCAAGCATGCACACTACCTCAAAAACACCCTACGAATATATTCGTGTGCAATATAACATCATGAACATCGAATTGAGCCTCAAGATCAATGAAATTTCTCAGATTTCCTTTTAAACATCAATTTTCCCAATTTGGGTCCGGATCACGTCAAACGACGTCCGATTTTGACCAAACTTTACAGGAGTGATTCAAAACATATATAAGACTCGTACCAGGTGTCGGAACCAAAATACGGGCCCGATACCATTGCTTTATAATCAGATTTCATTTCCATTTTCTTTAAATATTTTCAGAGAACAATTTCACTTAAAAATTCATAACTCGGGCTGGGGACCTCAGAATTCGATTCCGGGCATACGNAACCAAACTTTACAGGAGTGATTAAAAATATATATAAGACTCGTAACGGGCGCCGGAACAAAAATATGGGCCCGATACCATTGGTTTCTAATCAGATTTCATTTCAATTTTCTTTAAACATTTTCAGAGAATAATTTCACTTAAAAATCATAACTCGGGCTGGGGACCTCGGAATTCGATTCCAGGAATACGCCCGAGTCCCATATTTTCCTACGGACCCTCCGGAATCATCAAATCATGGGTACGGGTCCGTTTATCTAAAATGTTGACCGAAGTAAAATTTATTCATTTCGAGGTCAAAACTTAGCAATTTCTACAATATTTCACATTTAAGCTTTTCGGCTACGCGCCCGAACTGCGCACACAAATCAAGGCAACTTTAAATAAGGTTTTCAGGGCCTCGAAGACACAGATTTCAATTAGAAACAGGTAATGACCCTTTTGGGTCGTCACAGCACCCTTAACAACAAAATACATTCTAAAATCACATGATTGATACTTACTGTATCAAGAGACCTACAACGTTCTTGGAATTTATGCTTATTGGTAGAACCATTATATCTTTCCCCCTCCATATAGATGCACTAGCAAAAATCACCACCTATAACGACCTGAGCGGTCGTTTTGAGCATTTGTACTTCGCTCGGTAGTTTGAGGGCACGAGTATCTTCGCATGATGTATTATGACTTGTGTGAATCGTCGATTTTGGTTTTTAGGTTATTCGGAGTCGATTCAGAAGAATGAATTTCATAGTTTAAGCTGGAAGAGTTGATCAAATTTGACTTTTTAGTATTTGACCTCGGATTGGAGTTTTGATTGTTCTGTTAGGTGCAAATGGTGATTTTAGACTCATGTGTATTCCCGGATTTGAATTTGGATGTTTCTAGAAGGATTCGGCACTAATTGGCGAAAGTTGGAAATTTGAAGGTTTGGAAAGTTCATAAGTTTAATCAAGAGATGAATTTGATGATATCGAATTCGGATCATGGTTTTGGGAATCGAAAGAGTTTTGTTATGTCATTTGGGACTTGTGTGAAAAATTTGGGTTCATTCCGGGTTGATTTGATATGTTTCGGTGCTAGTTTTGGAAGTTGAAGATTCAAAGTTCATTAAATTCTATTTGAGGTATGATTCATGATTTTGATATTGTTAGGTGTGATTTGAGGCCTCGAGTAGGTCCGTGTTATGTTACGGGACTTGTTGGTATACTCGTATGGGGTTCCGAGTAGCTCGGGTGTTTCGAAGAGAGTATCAAACGAGCATTTCGACACTCTAATGATGTTCTAGAACAATTGGAGTGCGGACGGAACATATTAGAGTGCTGAGGCAAAGCCTCATGTACGGACCGTAGAGGGAATGTGCGGACCTTAGAAATCCTCTTGCGGCCGTAGAAAGGAAAATCTGCAGGTTGATGGTCTAACTTCGGAAGCTTATATCTTTTAATCTATAAGAAATTTGGAGAAGATCCAAAAACAAAATTTGTAGCCCTCTAGTTTCCAGAAAGATTAAGAAATTAGCATTTGGACATTTGTACAAAAAGTAACGGGTATTTTACTGAAGCTTGGTAGTGCAGTCACTGTTGAAGTGCGACCGCACAATTTGGATTGCGGTCGCGGATCCAAGAAAGTGCGGACTGCACAAAAAAATGTGCGGTAAACACAATATGAGGTCAGATTTATTACTATATAAACGAGGGTTAGAGTGTTATTTCACATTTGGGCTTTGGAAGCTCGGTTTGTGGCGACTTTTCATGAATATTTCAAGAAATTTATTTGGGTAAGTGATTTTAACTTGGATTTGGTTAATATACATGGATATATCATTGTTTTCATAATTTAATTAATATTTTTAGATGGAAATTTGAGAAAAAATTGTAGAAACTTCATAAACTATTATTTGAGGATTTGAAGGTCGAGTTGTGATCGGATTTGACTAATTTTGGTATGGTTGGACTCGTAGTTGAATGGGTGTTTGAATTTTGTAACTTTCATCGGATTCCGAGATGTGGGCCTGGGGTTGACTTTTTGACTTTTGATTAAGAACTTAGCATTTACATTTAGAATTGTTTCCTTGGGCTTCGTTTGATGCATTTTGAATTGCTTTTGGCTAGTTTCGAGTCGTTCGGAGGTCGATACGCGAAGATGGCATTGTTGGAAGCATCGTTGGGCTTGCTCGGTAATGGATTTAACTTGTTCGAGGTAAGTAACATTTCTAAACTTGGTGTTGAAGGTATGAAACCTGAATTACGCATTATGTGTTTGGTGTTGAGGTGATGCACATGCTAGGTGCCGGGCGTGTGGGCGTGTACCATGTGAATTGTGACTCCATTATTTCTGTGGTACTGTATAGTTACCTGATCATATCTTTAACTATGAAATCTCTACGTACTAGAGTTATTGAGGTGAGATCCATGTTAAAAATCATGTCTAGGATACATGCTTATTCTGTTGAGACCCACCGAGGTCATTTCTGTTGTTGAGTTATCTGCTTACATTGCAAATACATACTCAGTCATATGCATTCATATGCATATCATATCTCAGTCTCTATTACCATTTATTGATACATCATATCATTATTTTTGGGCTGATTTTCATGACATTGAGAGCCCGGGAAGCTGGAGAGATTGATGACTGAGTGAGGCCGAGATCCTGATTGTGAGAATATTGTACTATAGCACGTGAGTTGTGCGTACGCATCCAGATATTGATATTATAGCATGTGAGTTGTTTGTGCAGCACGTGAGTTGTTTGTGCGGATCCAGATATTGATACTATAGCACGTGAGTTTTCTGTGCAGATTATAGCGCTTGGGTTGAAGGAGCCCCTCCGTAGTTTGCACACACCCCTAGTGAGTGAAGATACCTACCGAGTGCGAGGGTTGAGTGCTAGTGCCCAGCTAGTGCCGAGTGATTGGGATGATTGAGTGACTGTGAGGACTGAGTGGCTGTTAGGACTGAATGACTGTGAGGATTGAGTGACTGGGAGGAATGAGTGAATTGATACTTTGAGAGCATGCATATGGTTTTATCACTGAGTTGCATCGCATTTGACATGCATATTTGGCATACGGACATAGAGATGCATTTTCCTTCTGATGTACGGTATCACATCATTCATGACCAATACATATCAACATGTAGGCATAGAGATGTATTTATCTCACGCCCTTTGAAAATGAGACATTTACCTGTTGAAAGCTTTGAGAAAAATTATAGTTTTCAAACTTACTCTTATTTTTGGCGATTTTGGTAAAAGATTTGAATTTTCACTGATATACTTGAAAAGCATGCCTATTTTTCCTAGAACTGTGAACGAACCGAGCATTTTATCTGTGAGTTACTTCTTTTATTCCTTTCATTATGTTGTTATGAACTGTTGTTGGCTATTGGTGTTGGACCCGCCCTTTGTTCCATCTCGTCACTACTTTCAACCTAAGTTAGGTTTGTTACTTATTGAGTACATGGGGTCGGTTGTACTCATACTACATTTTTGCAGATGTTGGATGCTGATGTTGTTGTGATCGACGGGAGCTGGAATTGAAGACGTACCTGCATTCCGGTTGTAGCTGTCTCTTATTCATGTTAGCCTTAGATTTATAAAATAAAAATATGTTTATGTAAATTTCGAACGATGACGTATTTATTTCATACCAGCTTTGTAAATTCTAATCTTAGAAGCTCATGATTTGTACTATCAGTCATTGGGAAATGTATAAGATTCAAATAATTTCTTTTACTTATTTGTCTTATTAGATTTTATTGGAATTGAATAGTTGTTAATTGACTTACCTAGGGGAGTCGGGTTAGGTGTCATTACGACTAGTTGGATTTTTGGATCGTAACACCACCACCCCTCATCCTGCACTTAAAATTACTACTGTATTGGTTGTCTTTGTACCTATAGACACGTTTATTCCTGTGCCCTTTTGTGGTAATTCAATATCAACGTCCTCTGCACAACATTATGTCTACTGACTAATTGAGCCATCAATCTCTATATAACACGTTTTCCCAGTATTCTATTTGGCATTATCTTGTTAGTTCATCACAAAGGCTAGGCTAAATTTCCTGAAATATCACATTAAAGTTTAAAATCTTTTAATAGTTTGAGGACTTTGAATTCTTGAAAGTGGTAAAAGTTGTATATAACGGATTGTGTCAAAACAACATGGAGTGTTTTAAAGAAGGAATTGAAAGAAACAGAAAATATATTAGTTGAAATGTAGGGAGTCAAAGAAACAACAAAAATCAGTACTAACTTGATTGACAGAATTTCATATTTAATCTAAAAAAAGAACTCCCATTCTGGGCTCAGGATTTGCAGAAGCAGAAAAAATCATACTAATGCATTTGTTCAAGACAAGATTCACTGAAGAAAAAATATCATTTATATTTCTCACTAATGCATTCTGAACCGTAGAGAGAGCTAGCTAGGCTCCTGAACCATCCAACCATAGTAGTAGTTATTTCAAGGACCAAATATTCTCCACAAGATTTAGCAAAACACCAACCCAACTCACACGGTGTACTCGTTCACAAATTCCATGTATATCAACTTTTCTCCAATCTTTCTTTGCAATGTCATATAAGAACATTTGCCAAATCGTACTACTGTTTGTATTCAATGTAATCTCTCCCTTAGGGTTAGTGTTAAATAAAGGCAAATATTTTGTGTTTATTAACTCTAATGGCAGCGCAATTATATGTTTCACCCATGTCTCAGTTTCACCAGTACCATTAAGAACATACAAACTAACCTTGTCATCGCCTCCAAACTTTCTTTGATCTACAAGTGCAACTTGTCCCTTTATTTCTACTATTTTTGGTGGAGATTTTGAAGTCGATACCTCATCAGGGGACAAAATCATTCTAATTAACTTTTCATTTTCAACACTGAATGCAGCTATATTGTAAGGCTTTGAAAGCCTATTTACACAATAAATGACTCCGCCGATATAAACAAAATTGTATATAGGGAAAATGTTGGCGCAGTCAGGAATCTCCCTCCACAATTTGTCCACCCCGATAGTGTAAATCCAATATCTCACTTTACATGAATAATCTCGATCATCTAGTATATAGTACTGTGCCTTGATTACTTTATATTTCTTGGTGGTGGGATCAAAACCCAGGGAGCAACAAGTGATTGAAGGTCGTTGATTAGGAAGAAAGATATGTTCTTGTGTAAAAGGATTACAAACAGCAACTTCTCCATAAAAGTTCCATAGACAAACTAAGCCATTGGTAGATGCTAGAGAGTGAAGCTTACTGAAACGTGACTGATTAAAGTACTGAATGACATTTTCGCGAGTCGCCAAAGATGAGCAACTTACATGAAATTGAGCAGTGGACAACTTTTGATGTGCTTCAATGAATAAGGGTTCTGATATAAGGGAGCAAAAGGATTTCGAAACGCATCTAAAACGCATTAGAGACTTGACAGGAATCTTTTTTAGAATTTCAAAGATAATCTCGTGCGGAATACATAAAGTACCAATGGCAACAATCTTCTTTTTCTTCATGTATACTTGGTTGTGGCGGACGACTATAATATTATGTGAAAATTGATAGTGTAAAGGTGTGTTTGAGTTGAAGTCAGGGTTTATATATATTGTTTAGGTTATTCCCTTTGTTTTTGCTGGCGGCCGATAGCTATATAGGGTTCAATATCTATTGTTTTTGTACGGAAAATACGGAAATTGTTTTTGTATCACAAATATAACCTACCAAGAATACAAATAAACTTCTACTACTCTCACTGATCACATCACTTTCTACCATCTAATCTTTTTTTAAACAAACAGAGGCATCAATCTCTATATAGCATGCGTGTTTTCCCAATGGTCTATTAGGTAGTATCTTGTTAATTCAGTCATAAAGGCAAGGCTAAAATTCTTGAATTATCACATTAAAGTTTACAAAAAATTAATAGTTTATGGAATTTAAATTCTTGAAAGTGGTAAAAATTGCATAAAATGGATTGTGACAGACAATTTGGCAGAAGTGTCAAACAATTGGAAGAAAATCGCGTCGAATTTATATGAAGAATTACAGTTTGTGCTCAAGATTTGCATAAGCCTAAAGAAAGTCTAATCGATTCAAAAAAAAAAAAAGAATCAAACGTCATGCATGTTAACAACAACAACAACAACAACAACAACAACAACAACAGCAACACAGTAGGATTCCACTAGTGGGGTCTGGGAAGGGTAGAGTATACGCAGACCTTACCCCTATCCCGGAGGGATAGAGAGGTTATTTTTGGGAGACCCTCAGCTCAGAGACAATAGATCCGTAATAACAACAGAAACCAGAAAAAAAGTATTAGCATCGTAAAAGAAAGCAAATAAATAGAAAGGCTAAAATGTGAAAGACAGCAAAAATGTGAAACACAACAAAAACCGCTAGCAGTCCTAGACAAAATACTATCAGACTAGCCGGCACAACGAGGAGAAACGCTCGACTACCCCTAACCTACAACCCTAATTAATGCTCGACTGCACACCTTCCTATCAAGGGCCATGTCCTCGAAAATCTAAAGCTGTGTCATGTCCTGCCTGATCACCTCGTCCAATACTTCTTAGGCTGCCATCTACCTCTTCTCATATCTGCCAGAGCCAACCGCTCACACCTCCTAACTGGAGCATCTAGGCTCCTCCTCGCACGTGCTCGAACTATCTAAGTCTCGCTTCCCGCATCTTGTCATCCAAGGGAGCCACGCCCTTCCTCTCCCGAATGTTCTCATTCCTAATCTTATCCATCCTAGTGTGCCTTTGCACATCCATCTCAACACCCTCATTTCTGTGAAATCTTGACTGGCCAACACTCAGCTCCATACAAAAACGTCAAGCATGTTAAAGAATGCAATTAAACAAATATGAACTTCTGTCATCACTTCATGCACTTTGCAGAAGAGGAAAAGAAAAATGAGTACATAACATCATTGCTTAAAATTTCAAAAGTAGGAACGAACCTCCAAATCACACACAATACTAATAACAGAAATTGAAATGTTTGTGTGGAATGAAATCAGAAAAGGAACTATAAACACTGATAACATCATACAAGGAGGGTTTTATAGGTGCTAAAGGATAACTCTACATTCAATACTACTAAATGGTTTCACCTACATGCTGTGAATTTGGTCACCTTGAGGCTTGAAAACACAAACGCATGCACTTAAAATAACTTAAGGGACATATGAACCTCGACCTTTAGCATTTAAGTTTACCATTTCAGACAATCTCAAGGGCCAAATACTCTCCACAATATTTAGCAATACAGTAATCTGAATCTCCACAAGGAATTTGCGTTCATATATGCCATGTATCTCAACTAGTTTCCACTGATCTTTCCTTCCAGCATCATATAAAAAGAGGGACGAACTATTCTTGTCTGGAAGTGATAGAATCTCTCCCTTAGGATTGATGGTAAACAAAGAGCAAAGACAACCTCCACATGTCTTTGTTAATTCTAATGGTAGCTCAATTATATGCTTCACCCATTCGTCAGTTTCACCACTACCATTGAGAACATATAAAGCAATTGTGCTTTTTTTGAAATATACAGGACCTAATAGTGCAACTTGTCCCTTTATTTCTGCTATTCTTGGTGTACCTTCAGAGAACCTCAATGTCCATTCTCTATCGGGGAATGAAATCATTCTAATGAACTTTTCATCTCCAACACTGAATGCAGCTATGTTACATCGATTTATATGTACCCAATAAATGACCCCGTCAATATAAACACAGTTGCCATTTGAAGGGAGAAAATTGGAGCAACCGGAGATCTCTCTCCATAACTTGTCCACTCCAATGGTAAAAACCCAGTATCTCCTTTCATTATTCCTAAGGTGTGCCTTGAATACTTTATGTTTCTTAGTGGTGGGATCAACACATAGGGAGCAACAAGTCATTATACCGTAAAGTTCTCCCGTGGGTTGTTGATAAGGAAGAAAGACATGTTGTTTTATGAAAGGATTGCAAATAGCAACTTCTCCAACATTGTTCCATAGACAAACTAGGCCACCGATAGATTGCATATAGTTAAATTCACGGAAACATGGCTGATCCAAGTACTGAATAGGATAAGCTAAGTCTTGATGTTCTTCTCTTTGGCCTAAATTATAGATAACATCTTTAGGAGTCCAAGCCAGGCAACCTACGAGGAATTGAGCTACGCAACTTTTTTGATGTGCTTCAATGAATAAGGGGTCTGATATACGGGAGCAAAAGGATTTTGAAACGCACCTAAAACGCAGTAGAGACTTGGCACGAACCTTTTTCAGAATTTCAACAATGAGCCTGTGCGGAATGCATGCGACAATGACCATAATGTATACTTGGCTGTGACAGATGACCATAATGTTATGTGAAATTTGAGAGCAAAGAAGGAATTCATGAAACATATAAGAAGCATGGTTTAAAGGCGTCTTTGAGTTGGACTCGCTTCTGCAGCAACAATAACGGACTCGGTGTTTGGATGTTCTTTTAGGTTTAGGTTATTGCATTTTATTTTTGGCGGCCTACAGGCTTTGTATCTTTCCTTTTTGCTCGTCATCTATATATTTGAGGGGTACTAGAAGAAGACTACATATAAAATTGTGTTAAATAGATCCTTGTGAAGTAGCTTATTAAGCTATTTTAAAACGGATACATCCGAATATATCTGCTTTGTTTGTCAGAATCTATCCATATTCAAGACCAGTGCGCTCCTTGTGCAGAAAAATTTTACCATTTATTTTTCTTAAACATAACTGAAACATGAAGAAGCCTAGGCCCCTGAACCAGCCAAACGTCGCTTGGTGGCGTTGGAGACAGACACTTGACCAAGCTTGTCCGTTTCTGTATATGGTGATCTCTCTTTGAGAGGCATATAGTGACGCATCCATACACCAGTATACACCTGAAGGAGAAACAAATCTCAAATGAATAAACCTGGCAAAGTTCGATAAGGGGAAGAAGTTATAGGACTAAAGACTTCCCTAGGGGGATAAGAAGTCAGAAGAAGAGAACTGCGAATAAATCAATTATAAGCACCAAAACTCATTTAGTTGCTAATCAGACCTTAAAAGTCATTAGGTTCTAAACGAGCACCTTTATGTTTTCTGGATCTTCTAAGATGCCAAGGCGATCAAGAGACGGAGGAAAAATCCAAAGAGCCGAGGTTTTGACTTGGCACAAACAAGTACTAGGCGGCTAACATAAAATTTAGTAATTGCTAATAATAAAGTCTTCTTTGTACATCTGATTATGCCAAGATTGAAAAGACAGACTAAGTGATTTCACCTGTGCAGGTCTCATTATCTTGGTATCAGGATCATCCAAAGACTCTCGCCAATGAGACAAGTAACCAGCCATCCTAGGAACTGCAAACAAGACTGGAAAGAATTCCGTCGGGAATCCCATTGCCCTAATACATGACAGTATTTCATTAGAGAAATATCACTAATAACGAATACCAAAAATATTCATCTTACTTTGTTCTTACCTGTAAATTAAACCAGAGTAGAAATCAACGTTTGGATACAGCTTCCTTTTTACAAAGTACTCGTCTGAGAGCGCGGCTTTCTCCAGAGCAATAGCAACCTGAAATAAATGAGAAATTTTGGGAACCATATAAAATGTTGGGTCATTGAAAGAAAGCAGGCCATATTACATCCTTTCATGCATGCAAGGATTTAATAGATGTACATATTTAACCAGCCAGCCAGAGAGATGCAGGATATCTGGGTGGTGGCATCAAATGCTCTGACTCTGTGTTACCCACCATAATATTTAACTCGTAGCCAATCTCATCACCTGGAAAGACATTTTTTCTCAATTTGATATATAATTCACATATTTCAGAAAAACGAGATTCTATCACCTCTTCCACATAGTAAGAGAGCTAACAGGCACACTCGATGTCATTGTAAGATAAAGATGTAGTCGAATATCCGGCATTACAAAGATAAAAGAAATCTCCTTAGTTAATTCTACAATGAAGAACAGGAGGGAAATAACTTCTTCGAATCTGAGGTAGAATTAGTGTGGCAAAAGATAGAAATTTAGCTACCTCAAAAGATCAGATTTTTGTTAATTTGGAATTGCCGAAAGAAAGAACAAAGACTGCCTATGGAAATATAAATAGTGGGGAAAGGAAGCTTGAATGGCCTTCTGAACAACAAAGAGAAAATGGTGCTTCCTCCGGAATAACCGAGGAACAAATAAGAATGGATTTTACTAGACTTGTTTGAAGGTAGCCAGAGAAGAACATTGGTGGTGTATAACTTTTGTACTGCTCTAGTTGTGATAAAACTAAAATAACTCAAATTCACTTAATCAACTTTTTATGAAAGTGAATTTAAAACATCTAAGGGTAATACCCAGCTCAAGACCAAGCCAAAACCACCTGAGCATGCAGTGCCTATACTTCTTTTAGTATAGATGCAACAAACTGGGAGAAGTTGGCTTTATACTTATTTCTTTCTAGCCATACATGAAATGTTTTCGTGGGAACAATCTTTTATGTAATTATGTCTGCACCAACTTTACTGCTTTAAGCTCTTCTGTAATACGAGAAAATCTGAAGTCCACGAGGATTGCTTAAACATGGATACAAAATATCCTGTTACTTCCAAAATGCTAGCAAAAATGATTAAAATAATGGAATGGACCTCTTGGAAACACCAGCTAGACCAAGAACAGTTATAATCTTTTCTAGAAGTGAAAACCTTACCTCAATCAAAGGATCCTGACCAACAATTGAAAATACTTCATCGGCGAGCTTCTTAATGACTTTTGCTCTGGGATCATAATTTTTGTAGACACGGTGCCCAAAACCAGACATTTTGCGCTTCCTAAAGGGACGGAAATATAAGGAAATTCATATGGTTAAAATGAACAAGACAAATCTTCTGCCTGATGTTACAACAATGACTATCAAAAAATGCATGCCTGTTCTTCACACCCTCAATGAACTCTGGAATATTCTCAACGCTTCCAATCTCACTGAGCATCTTCAGCACAGCCTGTAACCATGTAATAACATAACACTCAAGCATAATACAACCCAGCGCAATGTCATGTGAGAGACATAAAGATACAGAGAACTCATAAAATTTGAAGCTCCCCTATACATGCTCATTACTTGCTGTAGAAATATTTTACCTCATTTGCACCCCCATGGAGAGGGCCATACAAAGCTCCCACAGCTCCAGCTATAGCTGTGTATACATCAACCCCACTGCACAATCATTTGTATATAAGTCGTGTATCTTATTTATACATCAACCCCAAATGCACAATTATTTGTATATAAGTCGTGTATCTTAGTGCTATTGTCTGTGCAAAAAGATGCCTACCTTGAAGCAAGATGACGTGCTGCAGCAGTAGAGCAATTCATTTCATGTTCTGCGTGTAATATGAAAAGAATGTCGAGCACCCGAGAGAGTCGAGGATTGGGTTTGTAAGACCTATTACCTCTGTAAGTAAGGTAAACAAAAAGATTCATTTAATTTATTGGCTGCACACTGAAGAATTGAAAGTGATGTGATGGCAAATGCAACAAGGAGAAATCCACAGACACGTTGATTTTTACGATTACCACTATATTTACAATCATTCTCTGACTAATAAGAACCAGGATAATTACTTCTATCCATTTAGGCATCATTTAGAATTCCGGACATAAACCAAAGAAAGCAAAGTGGAACAATAGAACTTACAATGAATCTAGCATGTACAAGAAGTTCTCTGCATAAGAGAGATTGTTGGATGGAAGGACAGGTGGCCTTCCAGCTATTCTTAAGTAAGCAGCTGCAGCAATTGTAGGTGCCTGCAAATACAACGAATAGAATGCTTATTACTACTTAGTACTTTACACTCAGTTGACGAAGATCACAAAGAACATACATCAAACTTTAACGCAATATCGTAGTTCAAAATATCAGAAGTTCAGACAATCAAAGAAAAAATAGATGAAGGAAAGGAAAATAACCTTGCCAAGGATCCGGACTATTTGTTTATCTCTCACTTGTTTAGACTTGTATATATCCTGTCCCTGCATGAACAAAGACAAATGATCAGAATCACGAAATAAAATGTTGCAATTCAAATGCTTGCTGTCCAGCTATCATTAAAATGGGTCAAAATTCAGAAGGTAAATCATTTTTATTTTGATAAGTCAAATTTTATTAATAAAGTAGTACCAAGAGGGTACTAGCAAAAGTACAGAAGATAAGGAGCAAGCTCCCAACTAGTAAAACTTTTGAGAATCCAACAATTCAGAACGTAAATCAATTTGTGATCTCTCAACCCTTAGTTGAGAATCTTGCTTCGTAATGACCAAAATTCAGGCTTAAGAAGGGTCTTTAATAGTATTTCTTTTTCCATTGAGATGGACCACTAAGCAGACCAAGAGAAGCAATTTACATTGTACCCCAAGAAATAAGTTATGTTGTCTTGTTAGCTCATAAAGGAAGCTAAATGATCGTCCAAACCGGAGGAAATATTTAATTGTTCAACTTTGTGTAAGAGACATTTTCTGAACCATATACACAGATTCCTTAAGATTTTCCTTTGAACTATTTGAGTTATCCAACTCAAGCTATGAGAATAGAAATGGTTGTAGCTCTAACAGATACCCTCTTGCCAACTACAAAGAAACTTCAGGTGGGGACAAAAGAGAGCAATTTAAACTGCAGCATGAAATTTGAGCAGAAGAGAGGGTTTAGACAAATAGCTGTTCCAGTATACCCCAAAAGAACAAACGGATAAAAGATAAAACATGCTTCTTCACAAAATATATGAAAACAAATTTCGCTTTAAGTTTTGAAACATTTCAAGGTGGCAATTATAACATTTCATCATCAACTCCTTTATTCAACTCTCACTAGGACAATAAGAAGCTAACTTTCAAATTATTATTCGCGTCAGTTGTTACTGTCAACTCTTAGAGAGACACCTAGACAAAAAATTTGACAAGCATTCTCATCAGAAACCTACACTGAACTCTCTAAATATAGAGAAGCTAGTAATCCCTCAGTGGTAAGACAATCATGATGAAGCAGTGTCCCTTAATTGGAACTAAGAAGCTAAGTTCATCTCAGGGAACCAAAATGAGATCAGGGAACATCTGAAGCAATGAATTTAGGTAAATCAGAGAAGCTTTGGCTACAGATTATATATTGGTCAAACACTTCCACGTCTGTTGCATCATAGCAAAGAGGGAGAAGAGGCAACACAAGAAGGAATATTTGAAAATGTTGCTTACTCTCAGAGCTGGATTGGCATCAGGATGAAAGACAGAAAGAGCACTCATTGCACTGACAAGAACACCCATTGGATGAGCATCATGGGGCATCGAATGTATAATATCCTGCATCATAAAATTGCAATTGGTTCAGATTTTTTTGGACTCCAACAAAAAGCAGGAACCCAACACTCAACAGCATAAACTTTATAAAAAAAAAAAAAAGGACTTTGCAAACCTGTTTAAAGGACATAGGGTAGGACCGTAAATGACCATATTTAAACAACTGACATCAATATATACAAAGAAACGTAAATCATAATCACATAATTACTGATGATGTGAAAATCTAATAGAAGTACTTCTTCCTCCCCTTGCACTTACATTCTTCTTCTACTAGTGAAGGGTGTTAAGAACTAAGAGAATTTAGTGCAATTATTTTGAGGGATATGCTTAGTTTAATAGTATGGAGTGTTCTTAATCTAGTAGCTGAAACTCCTATTTAAGGAGCTTTCTTGTATGTTCTTTACAACCAATTCAATACGATTTTTTTCTTTCTTTCTATTTCACATAGTATCAGTGTCTCTTCCATCTCGGCAAAGATTGCAGTAGTTACACCTACCGGACAAAAGGCTTTCCCTCTTGTCATAAGTTTTCAGTGACCATTTTGGAAGATGTAGTGACTGACCAAACATGTACAGTAGGTGAAATGCCCATGGGGTTTCACAAGTTTCATACTCCAAGACCATGAAGTTTATGAGAGAGGGAAAATATTGCAGACAAAAGCTAATAAGTGCAGAAGAACTATAAGTTCATTATTTAAGTAAAATCCAAGGATGTTCCTGTCTTCAAGTCATGGGGAGCATTTGCGAGTGACAAAAATCCGAATCCATTATAACTCAAGCTTTCTTAGAAAACTAAAATATGAGCGCACCAAGATTCCTTGTGGAACTGCTGAATGTTGTGAAACTGTGAACTCCCAATCTGCCAACTGGTTCTCAGATGGTAAATTACCATACACTGCAAATTTCAATAAGCACAAACGAAAAGATAAATCAAACAGAGTCAGATGTATGGATGAAACAGCCTCTCTGCCCTATCAGGGTAGGGGTAAGGTCTGCGTAAACATTACCCTCTCAGACCCCACTTGGTGGGATTTTACTGGGTAGTTGTTGTTGTTGTTGTTGTAAGTCAGATGTATGGATCTGCTAATTTGTTTGTGGGGTTGGGCTTTGG